TCCAAATCAGTAGCATTGTGAATCATTGCATTTTTGTGTAAGACCAGTCGCCCCCCCCCCCCTCCCCAGTCATTCCATTACTCCCGTAACGCCACTGTTCGACCATGAAGCTAATAGAGACAAAGATCAATGCACGCTAATCTCAATAAGGGAAAACATAGGCCTTTAAACTGTGAATCCTTCATCTATCAGACCACTCACCTTTTAAAGACACAATGATCCTCATATTACTTTTTAAGAAATAGAGGTTTGATAATCAGACACTATGATCAAAGTTCCTGTTTTTTAATTTTCAGACCTGATCAGTCTATGGAAATGAAGTTTACTGTTATTCGTTATTGGCCTGTTAATATGCAACTGTGGGCAAATCGGTATTCAACAAATCAAATGGGTAACTTTGTTTTGAAAATTTTACAAGGATTTTGTTTCTAAGAAGATCATTTACATTATCAGTTAAAAAAAAATTGTCATAATTTCAGGGATAGTGATAATAAACACTTAATTCAAATTATACTTGAATAACTAAACAACTTCTAGAGGCAATTGTAGGCAGTTGAAATGATGAGTTTGTATATAATAATAGCTACATAATTATATTCAACTGAATATGCGACTGTATACAGGAATAATAGGGAATATGTATTTCCGTACTTTTCCCCCCAAAGCACATGTAACTAGATGAACCAGGCGCGGATCCAGGATTTCTTAGGGGGGGGGGGCCCACTTTTTTTTTGGGTCCGAAAAAAAGTCGTAACGACTCAGCCAGCCGCTAAATAAGCGGGGGGGGGCGGAAGCTTTTACGTTTCATTAAATCATTAGAAAAAGAAGACGATTCGTTGTACCGTTCTCGAAAATAATCCTCGTCTGAATACAGCTTTTACGTTTCATTAAATCATTAGCGAAATAAGACGATTCGTTGTACCGTTATGACTTTTAATCCTTGTCTAAATTCAGTTTCCTCTCTCCCACGCGAAGCGCGGAAGCGTTTACGTTTTATTAAATCATTAAAGAAAGAAGACGATTCGTTGTACCGTTCTCGACTCTTAATCCTTGTCTAAATTCAGTTTTCCCCCCGCTTCGACGTTTCATTGAGTTTTTAGAGGATGAAGACGATTCGTTGTTCCGCTCTCGAAAATAATTTTGTTCCCCCCACCCGCGCGAAGCGCGGAAGCTTTTACTTTTCATTGAATCATTAGAGAAAGAGGAAGATTCGTCGTACCGTTGTCGACTCTTAATTCTTGTTTAAATCAATCCCCCCCCCTTCCGCGCGAAGCGCGGAAGCTTTCATTAAATTATTATAGAAAGAAGACGATTCGTTGTACCGTTCCCGAAAATTATCCTCGTCTGACTTAAGTTCCCCCTGCCCTCCCCCGCGCGTAGCGCGGAATCTTTCACGTTTCATTAATTCATTAGAGAAAGAAGACGATTCGTTGTACCGTTCTCGACTCTTAATCCTTGTCTGAATTTCAAATATGTTCTTTGTCTATTTCCTTTTCTTCCTACGTCCTCTTCCTTTACACTCCTCTCTTTTTTGGCCGGCGTTTATTGGGGGACCACCCCACCGCCCCCCTGGCTACGCGCCTGCTGTCAGATGAACATGATACCTTGTCCGCCCCGGAAGCTCAGGGGTTTAAGGTTTTAATTTACGGTCAGATTAGCATTCAGGGGTCCGCCTTAGCGCCCTAGACGGGGTCCAGGGGGCAGAGCCCCGGAAGTTCAGGAGTTTAGGCATTTAATTACGGTCAGATGAGCATTATTTTGATACCTAATTGTTACAATGGCAGGTCACTAATTGGCTTGGGGTTCAGGGGGCGGAGCCCCGGAATCTCAAGGGTTTTAGGCACTCTATTACGGTCAGATGAGTATCGAGGGGCCCGCCTAAGGGCTTTTGGTTGGGTCCAGGGGGCAGATCCCCCAGAAGCTCGGGGGTTTCAGGCGTATAATTACGGTCAGATGAGCATTTTTGATACCTTATTATTTGTGACACTAGCAGGACACTATTTGGCGTGGGGTCCAGGGGGCAGAGCCCCCAGAAATCAGGGGTTTTAGGCATTAAATGACCGTCATATGAGCATCTAAGGGCCCGCCTTAGGGCCCTAGGTGGAATCCAGGAGGCAGAGCCCTTAGGATTTTAGGCATTAATTTTAATCATGGTCAGATGAGCATATTTTGATACCCCATTATAATGTGACACTGGCAGTTAACTATTTTTTCTTTCTCGCTCTCTTTCTTTCTATTTCTCTTCAATATACTTTTTCAAAGAAAGTGTGGGGGGAGGGGCTCGAGGATCCCGATCCCCGCCGTTCCGCGGGCCCTGATATGTAGGCATCCCAAGAAGCATTTTCTTGCCTGGCTGTAAATTTAGGAATTTGTCATTTTCCAACAAACGCATGAAGTGATGAAAATTATCTCATTTCAGCATTATTTGTTAACCACCGTTATGGAATTTTAAATAAACCACGTTTGAATTCTATTTCTCCAACCCCCCTCCCCTATCAGTATGCCAGTGCCCCCCCCCCCCCTCCGATCTACACCTTGTTGGCGGGAAAATTGCAACTGATATCCCCCTTCTTTTCTTTTCTTCTTCCTATTTTGTCCTTCCCTTTATCTCCTCTTTATCTTTTTTCTTTCCCTTTCCTTCCTTCTCTTTTATTTTTTTTATTGGGGGGGGGGGGAGGGGGAGGCAAGTCCTTCCCCCCCCCCCGATCTCCTTCTTCCCTCTTTTCTTTTCTTCTTCCTCTTCTTTTTTTCCCTTTCTCTCCTCTTTCCCTTCTTTTCCTTCTCTCTCTCCTTTTTTTTTCTTTTTTTTTGCGGGGGGGGGGGGGGGGGGGGGGGGGGCCAAGGCACGCTCGGCCCCCCCTGGATCCGCGCCTGAGATGAACATAATTTTATGCTTGGTTCAAGGGTGTCGATTTGTATCCGTGGTTGGGGGGATGATAGGTGCCAAAATATTTTCGGCAATTGATCAAAGCAACCAAAGTGGTAGAAGCGTGTGGCAAGTTGCACCCCTCCCAAGCGCGTAGCCAGGATTTAATTTTAGGGGGGCGGTAGTGAGCACGCGAAGCGCGGTTCCTAGGGGTAAGGTGCAGGGAGGGGGAGTCTCCCCCCCCCCCCCCGCGCAAAGCGCGGAAGCTTTGACGTTTCACTAAATTATTAGAGAAAGAAGACGATTCGTTGGACCGTTCTCGACTCTTAATCCTTGTTTGAATCAAATTCCCCTTCCTCCGCGCGTAGCGCGGTAGCTCTGACGTTTCATTAGATTATTAAAGAAAGAAGACGATTCGATGTACCATTCTCGACTCTTAATCCTTGTTTGAATCAAGTTCCCCTTCCCCCGCGCATAGCGCGGAAGCTCTGACGTTTCATTAGATTATAAAAGAAAGAAGACGATTCGATGTACCATTCTCGACTCTTAATCCTTGTTTGAATCAAGTTCCCCTTCCCCCGCGCATAGCGCGGAAGCTCTGACGTTTCATTAGATTATAAAAGAAAGAAGACGATTCTATGTACCATTCTCGACTCTTAATCCTTGTTTGAATCAAGTTCCCCTTCCCCTGCGCGTTGCGCGGAAGCTCTGACGTTTCATTAAATTATTAAAGAAAGAAGACGATTCTATGTACCATTCTCGACTCTTAATCCTTGTCTGAATTCATTTTTGCCCATTCTTGCGCGAAGCGCGGAAGCTTTCACATTTTATTACATTATTAGAGAAATAAGACGATTTGTTGTATAAGTCGTGTCCTTCATGAATTCAGTTTCCCCCCTACCGCGCGAAGCGCGAAAGCTTTAATGTTTCAATAAATTATTACTCTTAATCCTTGTCTGTATTCATTTTCGCCCATTCCGCGCGTAGCGCGGAAGCTTTCACGTTTCATTAAATTATTAGTAAAAGAAGACGATTAGTTGTATCGTTTACTTTGACGTTTCATTTGATTATTACTCTTAATCCACGTCTGAATTCGGTTGCCCCCCTAACAGCTTTGCCCTGTTCGCTAAATTATTAGAAAAAGAAGACGATTCGTTGTACTGTTCTCTGTATTAATCCTTGTCTGAATTCAGTTTCCCCACTGAAAATAAGTTGTGTCACAAATAAGTTGTGACATAATAATCTTTCTCCAAAAATGAAAAATGTTTTAGGAAATATCAGGAAATAAAATGAGTGAAAAAATAAAAATAAAGATACAATGACGTGAATTTTAAAAAGGGTGAACGGAAACAACATAACTATTTTATATGTCATACTAATGTCCGAAAATTTTTCTCCTTGTCTCCGATCTCATCACAAAATCGTCACAGAGTTCATCTATGTTTACACTGTCCAGGATTGTCTGATGTGCATTGCAGATTGCTACTTTTGTGCTTCGCGCTTAACATAGCTCGTTGCTTTCGATGCTGCGTCTTTGCATTTGGCGCACTGCATTTCTATGACGCTGTTGATTGAACAAATTGAATAAATTCATCAATTCCTGATGAAGCCGTATGAGCGAGAATTCAATTTATTCTTGTCTCATATACGGTTGTCTTATTTACTTCGTATATATGTATGTATATTGAAAATGAGATAGCAAAATGTGTGTATTGATATTGATGGTCATCTTGCGAGTAATAACTACTCTCATCGGACTCTCATTATTAATTTTTCTCTTCATTTTTTTTTTTTTTAAATTTTTTTATGGTGAATTATTGGGGGGGGGGGGGGGTGTGATTGTACAGGCCATCCCCCACCTGAAATATTTGGGGGGGGGTGTGATTGTACAGGCCATCCCCCACCTGAAATATTTGGGGGGGGGGATATATCCCCCCCCCCCCCCCCCCCCCCCCATCCCCCCGGGATCGACACCCATGGCTTCGTTAACTGAATGCGATGTATTGAAAATTGGCTTAGTAGACTTTATTTCTCTTTTATGTAATAGAAAATTTGCAGAAACACTCGGGAATTAAACAATGATGATATTCGAGATGAGTAGCAGGCTGCCCTCTACGATATTAGCAGAGACAATTAATTATTAGCCACGGCAGCAAAACACCACGACAGACGTACACTCGACTCCGACTTTGTCACCAAAGACATAGAAGAGTTCTCTAATAGCTTCCAGAACGTAAAGTATTAGTGTCACAAGCCTTTACCAAAGGATCTTATTATTTTTGGAGTAACATACTTCTGGATTTTACTCTCAAGCAACAAGGGTTTCATGAGAAGTAACACAGCTCTCGACATCACCCGCGGGTACGGTACCCGTTGCCACGTCCACGTCTAGCCCCTGAAGCCGAACGGTATTGTCAGTCCTATTCAGCCGTCACCAGACGGGCGATAACCTTTGGTGTCCGCTGATAATCGCAAAAGGAGCTCTACAAAATTAAAAATGGAGGTTGGAGTTGTGTGTATACCAGACGACGAAGATCTAAATAGGTTTAGGAGATTGGTAGATACTACTGACGGATGGACTGTTAGATACAACAAAAACAATATAAAAGTTTGGGTTCAGAATATAAGTGAAAAGGAAGCTGCATCAACAAGAATCCGCATGTTGAAGGTGAGATATCAATTGCTACTTAGACTAGATCTAATTCAAGTTCTTGTTCTTTACTTCTTGTCTTGAAAAGAAAATTGGAGAGAGAGAGAGAGAGGGGGGGGGGGGGAGGCAAGTTGGCTCAGTCTGTGAAGCGTCTGCCTGTCAAACCAAAGATCTCGGGTTTGAATCCCACCCAGGCGGCTGTCTGAATGAAGCTGAAGCCTGCGTTGTGTGTTAACTTGTTTCATTGACGCAGGGGAAAACAATCTGTCCCTCGGATAGGATGTTTAATGGAGGGCCCCATTTACAGGAGAGTCACAGCCCTTCCACGTTAAGAGCCCACTGCACTAGTGGTCCACCTTTACCTGCACACCCCAATCAGGCCAGGCCGAGTATATATTCTACATGTATGCACCGGTAGACGGCATATCTGCAAGAATCTTCAGTATTGAAGGAGACAGATTATCTTGAAGAAGAAGAAGAAGAAGAAGAAGACTGTATGATGCGTTTAGAACTTTAGATGTCTTTTTTTCAGAATTTTTTTGGTCAAATTTGAACTCTGTCTTGATATTCTTGCAACGGTAGTGTTACTGGCAAGAGATGACGTCATCTTCCTTTATGTGCAGTAACAGTTTAAAATGAATTCAAAATAAAATCTTAGGGCAAATTTATTGCAAAATTTGGTGGCAGAATCGTGTCACCATACTTATTACAGGAGACCCTATGGGCGACCTTACCCAAATAAGAGGCTAACAAACGAAAGAGACAGAAATTTTCGGTCTACATCAAGACTAGAGAAAGAAAACAAATGTTGAAAAATTTCCTCCAAGCAAATGGATTTTTCTGCCTAGAAAGTTTTATGCTATGAAATAGGTTAGTGAATCTCAACTTACACAATATAGACCGACATCATGTACAGTTGAATGTAGTTTCTTGCCATGAAACATGTTGCTGTCATTTGCAATTCATTTAAATTTCTAGTCTTTACAAATACAATACATGTGTACTTTGTAAAGTAATTTTTGTCATTTAAAAAATAAAAAATTGAAGGTGCAGTGTACCAGTATGCAGTGTTTTTTTTTTCTTCTTCTTTTCTTTGCAACATAAAAGTGATGTTGGACTTTGACTCTTTTTGTTGCCCAAGCTGTGACTAAGACTATTATACTTGTAGATCAATAGTCTTTCGAGAAGTGAACAAGAAATATTTTCAAAATTGATAAAAAAGACCACCTGCAAAACAGCTGAAATGAGACAAGACAGTATTCTTTTGTTGTGAGCAACTTACAGATGTATTGTACTGTACATGTGTAACTAAGTACATAAGTGGAAATGTGTTTGAGGCAATTGAAAGTACGACTATTGAAAGTACATATAGAAACTTATCTTTTGCTACATGTATATGACTAGTGCTGTAACATCACGGATATCTCAATTTCCGTTTGTCCGCCAGTCGGTTAAACAATTTAATAAAAAAAAAAAAAAAAAAGATTTTTAAAAATCTTCTTTTTTTTTTTTTTTTTTGCCGTCTCTGTCGGCAGCAAGCCAGGTCCATGTGAAAAAGCGGGAAGGACTTTCATTTAACCGCTAGGTGCGGCTGAAGGCGCCGATTCGTGCTTGTGAACTTGTCACAAATAATAGTAACTATGAGGCTGTTCACACCGCAATGAGATAGCGCGGTCTATCGTAGCACCCCCTTTTTTCTAGCGCGCGCTAGACCGCGCTATCTCTCGTGGACCACCCCCAAGAGGTGCTCTAGTGGCACGCCGTTTTGGCTCGCCGTGGCTCGCTGTTGGGCGGACCAAAACGACGTTGTACCTCCCACACCGCAGAGATAGCGCGGTCTAGCGCGCGCTATCTCTGCCGGTGTGAACGGCCTCAATGTTCTTTTTAGAAGAATGTGTAAGATCATTAATGTAAATTAAAAAAATAGAGGACCTAGGATAGAACCTTGTGGTACACTTTGTGTAAAAATTGGATGAATTATTATTATAAACTACATATTGAGATCTATTACAAAGATTACTTTCAAACCAAGATGACAGACAAATTGGAGTGTCGTTATAGTTTCAAAGTGGTGAGTCAACACACCGATTACCGAGCTGGGAGACATTGCCATACCATAAGTGCCAGGTGGAGGGGCAAAAATCGAAACTTTAAAAAAAAAAAAAAAAAAAGGGAAAACAAAACCGTCAAATTGAAAACGGAATCCGCCATGGGCGGTCGGATACCGGACGGTTAAACGTTTGACTACAGCACTATATATGACCCATTCCATTGAAGCATATTTCTTAGAAGGATACTGTACAAAATAATTGTTATATATGGTGGTGGTTATTTTTGTACCCGACTGCTAAGAAAGTATAAATGCTTGTAAGTACACAACCAGACGGCGGACGGCTTAACGCTTAAGGTCCTCTCTGAGGGACCTGGTAATGAGGATTAATGCCTTACCAAAGGGCACTGGCGCATCGCCTTTTAATAGTGTACTAGAGTTAATGAGTACTTTCATCTGTATTTTGTTTTGTTGCTGTTATGAGTTTATATTTAGGGTCTCTTGGAAGACCACCATTGTCGATGAGAATTTAATACCATGTCCATGTGTAAATAACAGAAATGAATAAATGAATGAATGAACAGAAAAGCAGTGAATGTGGGTGGTCATGATCCAGCACCTAACAAAAAGTACCAGATTTGGATGCAGCTTTAATGAATTATTTGGACAATAGCCTGTGCAGTCACTATCCTAAAATCATCCAATGGTATTAAACGTACACCTGTAGTCCTGTACACCTGTACAAAAAGCCAACAGTTGTGAAGATACATGTACAGCGTATTTAGGATTTTTTTTGGTTTACAATTACATGTACATACACATGTACATACACATGTACTGTACATGTACAGTTGTAGGTCTGAATCTGTAATTAAAAGATTCATTCCAAATTTCTAAGCTTCAAATTATGTACAGTGCATATGTAACTCATAAGAAACATTAAAAGTGGATCCATACATGCCAACTGTTCAGATTAAAGAGGAACATTCCTCTTTTTGGGAGAAGATAATTATCATTTTAATGCAGGTGTTCCTCTTCCTGTACAAATTTGTCTGTAGTATTGAATAGGAGAGTTAGGATTGTTCCTCTTTTTTTTGAAAATAGCATAATTTGTACAGATTTCTGATTTTCAAATGTTGTCATGTATGTGGATCATGTTCCTAACCCAGCAATAGAAGAGAAGTGATGTATATTCCCAAAGAATATTGCTTTTACGAAAAGGGTATTTGAAGATTGGAGTCTACAGTACTACTTCAGGCCTTAAATTTCAATATTTTTAGGGCAAGGCCACTTTTCTGTAGGGCACATTCCTATATTACAGCACAAATAGGAAGAATTGGAAAGGGCACACAAAATCTCCAAGGCCAATGAGAGGGGCATTGAGGCCAATCAAAGGGGCATCCAAGGCCATGGCCTTGGTGGCCTTGGATTAATTTAAGCCCTGAAAGGGTATTTGAAGATTGGAGTAAACAGTACTACTTTTGAAGAACTCTGACTCATGAAGTATTGTGCAAGTAGACAAAAGGCGGATTAGAACTTAGAAAAAAATCTTTGTCAAGGAACGATCATATTGTCCCACACTTTTATGCACTATTTAATCACGTCTTATGCATTAGGACAGAAAATTCACAGAAAAGTATCAATGAAAAAGGAGAAGCAAAATACTGAATTAATCACCTTTAAAGAAATCTATTTTTTTATACCCCAATATCTAAAATGAGCTCTTGTATTTTATCAAAAAATCAGACATTTTGTTGTGAAATCATTACACTTGACATGCTCATGTACTGTAGACGTCTCTACATGTGTACATGTTGTATCTGGCTCTATAATTTTTTGTTTGTTTAAAGTACTGAATGAGATATAAATTCATATGATTGTGCTCTTTTGTGAAAGTATGCAATACATGTTTATACACAACTTACATACATATTACACATAACACATACATGCATACTTTTTTAAAGGGCAATTCAACCCTGTTAAAGCTTATCTGCCGTAGTTTACAGGAGGGATTAAACCGCTCTACAAGGTCACTGGACAGGTGGTTATCTCATCAACTCAGCTCTCAGTTAACATAAGAAAAAGAGGATCATGGGGGACCAATGGTCACCGATTAGGCATTGTTTGTTATATAGAGGGCGCAAGTAGCTACACATAGTACAGTGGGCCTTTAAAGTTAGGTCATTTGAATGAAAGCTGAAAAATCAGAGAAAGAGAAAATTTTGCAAAAGTTTAAAATAAATCAAATCTATAGTAAGAAAGTCATGAATGTTTGCAACACCATACAAAATAACACATAACAACACATACTGCCAACAATAAAAACATGTACTCACAAATAGAATTGAGGGAAAAGAAACCCTGTGTTCAATGTTGAATCTTATCATTTGATTTGAATTACTACAGGTGACACACAGTCACACACTACATGTGTGGGTGCATGCATAAATTGTACATCCCCAGCTTAAATACCAAATACATGATGTAGGTCATTTGCTCCATGAGTGATTGGGCTTTGGAAGTCGTTTGAAAGTCAATTAAACCTCCTGAATGCCCTGTGTCCTCCTTCTTGGAAATTGGAGAAATCTTTCCTTCCGTCATTCTCCTCTTGGCTCCTCCTCTCATCCTGGTTGAATCGATGTGAGTGAGTGGGTGGGTGGGTGGCTGGACACCGGGAGTGCGTGGGTTGATGACTTTAAAGGAGGCAAAAGTAATCTTGTTTAGAAAGATCATTGCCATCACACTTCTCAATATAGAATAGATACGATATTAAAAGGCAAAGGTTAGGCTGTACTGCCTGTACATGATGTTATTAGTCCGATAGTTTATGGAGATGTACCAGTGGAGAAATTATCTTCCACTTCTTCCTTACATGTACGTGTACATGTAGGTTGTTTTGTCATGTTTATATGTCTTCTGTGAACTCTTTTACATGTACAGTATATCTACTTTGAACATGTACAATGCACATGTTTGTAAAATGTACTACAGGTACTTTATATCAATGGAAAGCTGAATGAACATACATGTAGAATACAAATATGAAGGAATAACAAATATTTCTCCTTTCAGTATCGTACAAAAGCAAATTAAAACATCAGTGTACATGTACATGTACGTGTATATACAGTGTACCGTACCTACATGTACATACACGTAATAATATTCATCACTATATCTATGTACCGTATAAGAATTCAGATGACTTTACACTTTCGACTAAAAACAAACTGTAAACTTACTAACATGTACGTTGTACATGTACATGTAGTCATGTACAGTAAATTTAATAAAATACATGCATTGTTACTAAAGGAAGATAAGGGTGTAACTTCAGTACATCAAGGACTTTTGAAGGTCACTTTGTCCTGTCTTCTTCTTCTCCTTGTAATGCCCTTACATGTACATTATGCTCAATAGTGTGTGAAAAAAAATTTGACCAACCCTTCAAAGATTCATTATAGAACTGCATTATAGGAGTTTGTAGAGTATTGTAAAGATGACCGGGGCCACAGGACGACCTTTCATCCCTTCCCCCGTCGTCGTGTGTCCTCAATTCCCTTATCAATGTGCATTTCATCCACCAAGAAAGAAAGGTGCCCTCTCCCCCTCCCCCTCCCCCTCCCCCTCCCCCTCCCCTGCCCCCTCTCCCATTCCTAGACCCATGCTACCTCATTGTACAGGAGTATAATGATATGATTATTTTTACACTATGTACACTGTACCTGTACAAACACTGTATTATACATGTTCAAATGTACCTTACAAATGTTTGTGATTTACAGACTTCAATGACAAGAATAGTGTACAAGTATCTCCATGCAGCCATGGCACTCCAGCAAGAGGATGGCAACGTCTGTAGATTTATGAACTTGAATTGCATCACGGCTGACGGGTCAATAGAAACATGTATTGATCGGTTAAGATGATTGCCGCTTGCATACAAGTCTCTCTACGTGTGCACATGCAGCATGGCACCTGTAATGATATTTCGGAGTTGCTGGAGGGTGGGAATCTTGAAGAAAGATCTCAAGATTGTCAGTTACCTTGGATTGATCAGATGCAGGTGGTTTGAAAGAAGAGCGCGTCAAGGGGTACAGGACTTGTTTAAAGGGGATCTTTGGTTTTAAAGGGATCTTTGGTGTATACATTTAGTTGATAACTGGTTGGGCCCTTTACAGTTTTGGACTCTGTGTTCTTAGTCAGTGCAGTAACTATGTGTAGGACCACTTGACTGTCAAGCCCAAGAAGTTCACTCCTGATTATTAGATTCAATGATCATTTTAAGTTTTTTTAAAAACTTGTCATCAAGTCATCTAAAGTTTTAAAGTTGTCTATGATCTCTTCCAAAGGGATAGAAGTTGCATGTATAAGAATTATGTTATCAAAATATGTTCATTGACCGATATGAAGTGGCTGGTTAAGGAAGAATATTAAAAAAATGAAATAATAACCTTGTCTGAGTCAACGAGATTATAGTGAAGTTGGAAAAATACATGTAGTTACAAAGTGTCTTGTTTTGATTTTAAATCCTAATTTTGTTTGTTTTGTAGATGTACATGTAGATTATGAAATAAAAAAGAAAATCATTGACATGTGCATGTACTGTATACATGTAGTAAAGTTGTACCGGATAAATAAGGAAAAACTATTATGCAAGGGATATTATAGCAGGATGTTGTTAGCTTGAATTGCATACCATTACCTGTATCCTGCGGAACTGGCTCCACTTCTTGTTCCTAGATCTGTCTGCTAAAGTAATTCAACACGATTGTTATCGTTCGTGTCTCCTTAGATCAAGATAGTTAAAGATAAATTTTAGTACTGGTAATGTGATTGCATTGAGAAAGAAAAGGTGTGGAAAGGATCAGAAACAGTTGATCTTGTAGCATGTAAGTATTGGTGTGCACTGCAAGGTTCTGGAGTCATCAAAATCATAATAAATTTGACCGAGTCTTGGTAAAGTAACAAGCACTCACATAGAAAGCTATATATGGGACAACACACATGATGTCGGGGCTAGTACTACCTTGATTTCCTTGTCTTTCTATGCTTATTACTCAGCCAGTATACATTTTCTTCCAAAATTGTTTGGCACATGTCATTTATTTGTAATCTTGAACATTCAGTGTAAGTTTCGTTTGATTCTGTGAGAATTATTATTATTTTTTTACCAGTACTGGAGGTTATCTTTAATGTAAAGTTCCTTAACTAAAATTAAATTAAATTAAATCAAGTTCTTCCATCGCTTGATTGCTGCAATGGCCGTTTCATTAACAAGGGCCAGGTCTTCAAGGGCCATAACGATTGTTATGTACTTAATGTACTAATGGAAAGATTTTTGTAATGATGGCTGTACATGTACACTGAAGGCCTTCATCAAAAAGGGAAAAAGTTCACACATTTTTGTTTTGGATGAGTGATAGAAAAAGAAAGAACTGTGATAATGAAATCAAATGATGTGAAGTGAAAGTCAAACTGATAAATGTTATATTCTTGACTTTGAATGAATTTTTGTAAAAGTTATCATATTGTACTGTGCATTTTGTTAAGTTATTGAATTAATTAATTATTCAATTTTTTTTTTCCTTTTTCTTTTTCTTTCTGACCCTTACTCGTGAATACAATACATGATGTATCAGCTCCTGTTGTCAAGTCATTGATAAAATACAATCTTGACTTTGCAATTTATATTCACTATTTTATCTGTAATATCTGTATTTTTTTCTTCTTATGTTTCGTTTTCTCCTCAGACCGTTAACGTAATGAACGATGTATCCGCACCTCTTGCCTACGATGTCCTCCATGACCCAGAGTACAGGAAAGAATGGGATAAACACATGATAGAAGGGAAGGAGATCTGTATGCTCAATCCAAATAACGACATCAGCTATTATTCACGTGAGTAACCTCGATTTGGTGCCATAATGATCTAACAAGATGAAAATAGATAGTAATCCCGAGAAAATAATTAACAAGGATAGAGTGTAACATTTTCAGTTTTGTTTTAATGCTTGGCTATTACAGATTAAAGAAGTTAACATATTCCGGAGTCCAATCCAACTATCATTTTAATTATGTTGCTCATTTTTATTGTCCTTTCAGAAGTATATGGTGTAACTAAATAAAGTTTGAGCATGTATATTGTTTAATAGAGAGTAGTCATAACACTCGAAGCAATAGTAAAAATAGTTTTAAAATTCTTGCCAAAGACAGGGAACCAGACTCGACTAGCACTTGTGCTAACTTCTGATACCCCCTTTAACAACAAAAGTGTACACATAATCTTTTATTCCATTTGTATACAACATACTTTGTAAAACAATATTTATATTATTCATGTGTAATGTTATCGATCTTGTGTTATATTTAAGTAATCATGCTTGATACATTATGTTTTACTTGTTATTATTTTTGTTAATAAACTCAAACTCAAACTCAAACTCAAACTCAAACTCAAACTCAAGTATTTGACACATACATACATTATGTAGTTACGGCAGTCAAACTTGCCTACAGGAAACACAAACAGGTTCTTCAACACACATTTCCTTCTAGAGGGGGGCAGTATACATGTAGGTGATCACTATAGACAGGTAGCCCTTACAGAGAGATGGCCACTAAGACAGGTTTGACCGTACAAGAAAATTATATGAAATGTGCAGCACAGTACTCCTTTAGTTTACATCAAAAGCATAGGGGCAGAAAATATGCAGATTATCTCATTCTAGTTCACTGAACTGAATGAAAATCATAGACTACTACATTAACCTTTGATAATGTGTGTGAAAGCACAGTCTTGTGGAATAACCCTTTTCACTCGTGACTGACTTCCAGATAACCTTTCCCTCCATGATGGTTAGAAGATGATACATTACTTCTTCTGATGAAACTTTGAAAGTACAATGTCACGCTGAATCTTCTAGATATCGATTGTTACTTACAGTAGATATAATCACTTTTCGTCTCCGTGTTATCTACAGTAGATAGCTACTGTACATGTACATGTAGATACAAGTTTTCTTGCAGTCTATCATATGCAGTATGTTACGGGTAAAACAAGGTAAACTTTCACAGTGGCTGCAAAAAAGATACTGAAGACTGTTTCCCAATATATAAAAATACTTTGCTTAGCTTTATTACATGTACATGCACAATTGCACATGTAAGTGTACATGTACACCATTTTATAGGAGCTTTATAATTATTGATCATTTCTTGGTATCAAATATTATTATTACATGGCAAGAAATTAGCATTGATTTTCTAAAGAAGAAGAATTGTCCATTATTCAAACTTTGAGTCAGCACTTCAATGTAAATCAAAAATAAAAGAATCCAATATCTGTGCATTGCTCCACATCCAAAAATTGATACTCTAAAGAAAATACCAGCCTCATTGAAAGAGCGCATCCCTTCCAGAGAGGTATATTCGAGGATCTTCTCATTTTCCATTGTTTGCTTGATCAAGGAATACTTGATCCATATAACATGGAATACTGAAACGGTGATTGTCGACTTTACCCGATTCAATCTCCCTAGATTAGCCATCGGAAAGGTCAGGCATGGGGATAAGAATTTTTTATTTTAAAGGGATCCAGTAACTTTGTCTCAGATTCTGAAACAAAATCCTGGATTTAGCTCATGCTGCAATGATAATTATAAACCTTTAAGTCAGTCAGGAACCCCATGGCTTTTATAAGCCGATCGCCCGTCTGATTATCAAGATATTTATGAATGAAATTACAAATTTTGAAAACCGTTTGCCAAACCAAACTGTTTTCATAACACTACAGTCTATTGGGGAATACGAGCATGGTAAAACCGGTCACTCAAAGATTTTTACTTTTTGAGGCACTTCTTGATCATTTTGAAGCACGATTTTTTAGGGCTTCAATATTACACCATATCACAGACATTGATAACACGTAGGGCCGTACATGTCAGATTTAACATTGTTAAACGAGCCCTTTAAAGGTACTTTTGAGTTGGGATCTGTTTGCTGTTCATCGTACGCCTTTGTTTGCTGATTGGACTCCATCCTCCCTCTCTCTCTATTGACTCTTCTGGTTAATGGCGTTTTGTGAAATGAGTTGAAAGCTTTTTGTGAGATTTTCGAACGCACTGGTATGAACAACTGTTAATCCATTACTATAAAGGTGGAGATGTCAGAGAGCAAAGAAGATTCTGTGTCTTGCACAGAGTTGCACCATCAAAGCCCAATTTTGCATATTCACATTGTGTACATGTACATGTGTATCAGTCATTTTGGTTTGGATTTTGGATTTGCATGCTAATTATTGCTTACTTCAAGTAATACTATCTCCTTGCCCTGAAATCGTAATTCTATTACGAATAATATGAAGTATTATCCCTGCATTGTTGATAATAAACCATGACCTGGGCTTTTCCTCTTTTCTATTTGTATATACTTTTTGGTTGTTGTAGTATCTATTGAATGTACATGTACTATTGCTTCCTTTGTTAACAATCATGATTGTTAATAAAGTGATATTGAAACAAAATGTCAAGTAAGTCCTTGAATACATGTATAGCAAACACATGTGATGGGATGCATGATATAAATTCAAATAATGCCAACTCTCTGTGTTATGAATATAATGGCTTTATAATACACATGTATTGTAGAAATTAAATATGATAATGCCTGTATTTAAAAGTCAATTGTATCTACTCTGATTACTTCTACCTTGTGAAAATTCTCATGTCGGCTTCCTACTTGTAAAGTTGCTGGTATTCTTTTCTTTTTATCCTAACTTTCTTTGTACATGAAGTGATGTACAATGTACACTGTACATGTAGGTACATGTAGCTTCTTCCTAGTCAAAAAGAATGTTAAAAAAGTACATGTAAATTGTACTGGAAGTAATTTTATGTGTTTTTCTTTTCTATATTTGCCATGAGATGTATTTGTGTTTTTGTATAAACTGATTTGTTCTGAACGTGATTTATGATTTCTTTATTTACCATGAAGTGTATTTGTGTATTTAAAGAAACTGGCTTTGTACTGAAAGTAATTTATGATTTCTTTATTTGCAGTGAAATGTCCGACACCGATGAAGAACAGGGATTTCGTGACCCAAAGAACGTGGTTAGAGACCGACCGGGAGTATCTCATTTTCAACCATTCAGTATTCCATAAGGTAACTATGATTTCCCAAAACAATTCTCGTCTTTAATTTCATAGTATTGATTTATGAAATGGATGTCTTCATTTCCCCAATATTATGAATCTTGACTCAGAACTTGTTAGATACATGTATGAAACCAGTGAAAACTCAGGATGACATTGAAATTATTGTTAAATGATTTTATGATCCTAGAATTAGTTAAGTTTCACTTTCACGTGGACATTGTAGTCTTTTACACCTCTTTGAACCTCTTTTCATGAAAAGGCTAATAATGTTTAAGACTTTTACTCTTATTACAGCTATCATTCCACATGAATCCATCGTATTCACATTAAAATACATAGTTACATGTACATGTGTGTCGAACTGTAATAACCCAAAAGACGATGTATTAAAGGCTTCGCTCAGATATGACGCAGCAAAAACCACAGCAATTTTTAATGACGACATAAAGTGTAATGGGCCTCACAATTTTATATTTAATAAGACAGAGCAGTTGCCATTCATTTACACGTATAAGAAGCACAGATGCATCTTTTTTTACTGCGCCGATCTGAACGAGCTGTAACTCTACACTGTACATGGCCCATACATAAATGTACATGTATATATCCTGGTATACCAGTACCAATCTTTTCAGGTGTCACTGGATCTTTCTCTTTCTGAAATCAATGTACACACCTCATATGCTGTATCACACACCTCATATGCTGTATCGATATATGATTGCTCCAATTATACTGCCAGCTGTTCGCTATATGGATTGAACTAAATATAAATATGTCTATATGCGGATACTGTATGGCAACAATATCCAGCTTGATATAATATAATACACAAATACTTGATTTAATATTGATATATACACCTGTTTGTATATAAGGATTATAGTTGTATGTTTACATACTGTAGTCAGGACTATGCAAGATCCTGTATCCACTATCCATGCACACCCTTTTGCTCAAAGTATATGATACTGCCATTTGGAACTGTGCTCTTACATTTGTACATGACATTGTTTGGAGCCAGAAGGGTGCTATTGACTCATATACTTTGACACATAATATAATGCCGTACTGGCTCTCAACAGATATCCAGGTGTAATATTGTAAGTTTTCAAAGCAAATAATGTGCAGTTGTGCGTAGAGTGTAACCGTCGCCCCATGTGGTTAAAATCACCAGACATACTAGCACACACCCATTGCTTTTGGCACATCATGGGGTCTTATCATTTAAGTTGGCTTCAAAGGAAAAACCTCCCACTAGAATGATGTGTTTTCTTTTGAATTTATTTCTTTTCTAATGAAAGAATAAATTTCGTGGAACTCACACAGGCAATGTGAGTAACAATAAGTAATTTAGACACAAAGACAACATAAGACACGCTTTTAAAGTCTTTGTCTTCCTTACTGTATGATAATGGTGATGAAATCATGTACATGTATGAAATTATGGAGAAGAAAACAGGCCATTTACTTTAGAAGGGAAACAAAGTATACATGTACACTGTAGGCATACCTGTACATTATAAACAATATGGCAGTCATTGCCTTTTACAGAACTGATCATGAAATAGATAATGGGTAATTTGGGAACAAACTTTAACCTGGGAATATTGAGAATTACAAATAACTCCTAGCAAAAGCAAAACAAATACTTTAAGGCGAGCCATGGAGTTGCAGGCAGCTTTAAAAGCTCTTAATTGCCTCATGGAAGAGGTCCATGTACTCATTAATCAAAATGCAAACAGATTTGGGGGATTCCAATATCATTCCATGGTCACGCCTACCAGTATAAAGTCTTGATCCTTACCGCCCAGAAGAGTAAATGATTAACAAATCACAAGGCCTGGTCGCCTTTCTTGAGGCTTCCCTTATCGTTACCATGGACCCTATAAGAATAATAGTGGGTTCTTGTATAGCGCCCATGTCAGTCAGATTTGACCCTCCTGGCGCTCCCGATTATTACCCTGGCTTTAGCACGGCTGCCATACGGCGCTCTAGCATTTCAAGAAATAAATTCCTACCAGGTACCCATTTACTTCACCTGGGTGTACATGTTTCATCTAATTTCATTTCCCTTTGTTTATTAAGTGTCCCAGTTTTTTTTTAGGAAATAGAATTGTAGAACCACCGTCATATTGAATCATTACAGGGTTTTTAAAAAGGTGCCACGGTGATCGAAATCATCATCATTCGACCTGAGTCAGCAAAAGAATAAGTTATAAATTAGGCAATGTCCAGTTTTAGAATGAGATTGCAAGTCAAATGGCAACAGGAATCTAGCAGGAAAGATAACAAGATTTAGTGTTCGATCCAAATGTACACATGTCTGAATCCAATGATGAGGATTGGTTGTGGTTTTATGTTTAATTTAATGATCTAAATTAATTAAAGATGCACATGCTGGAGGACTTTGTTTTTAATGAGTTTAAAGTAAACCTGCCACATCTCATTTTGATGATGGTTATTAAAGCTTATAGAGATAATATTGATCAATAAATTCATTGTAACTCATTTCTTTTAATCAAAATTAGAAATATATGAATTACAATGTATTAATATTCCAGCATACTGACAAATTGTTTTTTCAGGATCTACGTCTATCAGATCCTCAGATTATTTTCTAAATTAGATATGATAGAGCACTAAATGTACAATATGGATCTGTGAAATGAAAAACAAAATGCAAATGAAGATGTGCAAAGTGCAGTTTTGTTCTTGTTGTATTCCGCAACACTTGCAGTTCCTTCTCTGTTTATTCATAGCTCCAAGGTACAATTCATGTGGTGATGATCAGAAATTTGTTTTAAAGGTACTATGTCCCATTTGCAGGCCAAAAAAATGAAAAAGTTAAATTCCAACTGCATTTGAAATATAATACTAATTTAGAACTTCCCTAAAAAACGTGGGGCTTGAAAATGTCTTCAAGTGGGAAAATAACGACTATTAGTCGTCAAATCGACTTTAGGACTTATAGAGCCCAAAAGTAATAGTCTTGATTTTCAGATAATTGTACCGAATGGTCATACGTTTTATGCTGCGCAAAGATTCAATCAGTTTAATCTTGGCCATCACAAGAAGTGGGTTATTGATGTAGAAAAATGCTCATGTACCCTTTACAACTCTTTTCATGTATGTTATTACCAAAGAAGAAGAAAAGCCAGTCAGTCACTCAGTAGTGTCTGACAGTGAAGTCTAGCAAGTAAACAAGTTTCCTTGCATAATTTGAATATGAGGACACTGCTAATGTTTAAATTTCACAGATAGGACATACTGTACATGACATATTTATAATTCCTGCAAAGTTCTACACCATTTGAGGTTGGCTGCAAAAGACCAGTTATGGTCATGCGATTGCATTGTGAATGAAACGTTGTGGAATCGATCAGAAAAGGTTGATCATCTAGCATCTAGCATCTGCAAGGTTCTGGAATCATTAAAATGATAAGAAATTTTGCCCATTCTCCGTAAAGTAACAAGCACTATACACAGAAAGATGTGTATGGGACTACCCTATATCTCTCACAGACCATGAGAGAAACAAATTTACCAAATATATGAATTAGTAGGCGGTTTCCCGGCAAATTTTTTATCATCATGTATTAGTCAAAACATATTCTTTCACATAATTGGTAATGAGAGCTTCCATTTCATTTTTTTAAATTGGGGCATTTCCAATACTGGTCTTTACCTTTAAAAGGAGTAAATGTAAATGTCTAGTCATTAAGTTCAGCATTATGAGCTTAGAGTCTCACTAGACCCATTTACCTCGAAGACCATTTTGAAAAACCATCAATGTTTTGGTCCACCATTTACATTACTGGGAAAACCATTGAAGTTTGCTAATACCGTTTTGGGGATGAGTAGAACGCATTCGCGACTTGTAGTTGCCCTGCACGCGTTAGCGCAGAGAGTCACATGACAAAAAACCTGTGTCTCACCGAAGTTTGCTTTTACACTGCAAAAAAACAGTGAAACTTTGCAGGCATTAAAAAAACCACATCGTAAAGATGGGTTTAGGTTGGTTTTTTTTTTTTTTTTTTTTTTTTTTTTTGCGTCGCATTTGCTGGTAATTGCTATGCAATGCTATGCAACTACCGGCGAAACACCAGAATGTGAGAAAAAACAATGATTTTTTGTTGCAGTGCAAATGCAGCTACTACATGTACATGTAAATGTACATGTATGTACCTCTACCGTTCAGGAAAATGGGGCCAATTTTGTTCACCATTTATTTATAGATCCAAGGTACAATTCATGTCGAGACGATCGGATATTTGTTTAAGAAGGAGCCGTAATGACGTCAAGTAAATGTCTAGTCATTAAGCTCGGCATCATGAGCTGAGAGGGACATTATCTCACTATGTGCCTCAATCGTCGGGAAACATTGCAAGGAGTATCATTTCATGTCGATCAACAAAGTAAGGTCAATTTCATGCTCAAATGAGTTCCGATATGACATAAATTGTACATGAATTGGCGACAGTACGTTGAATAGCCTGTTGGTTAACCACCAATATAACCTTTAGTAATGCTGCTCTTTTAATAGTTAAAGAGTAAATCTGGTACTCATTTTCTTGGGGGAAAGGCATCCATTAAATTTTGTTTTCATATAAATGAACATATAATTTGAAACATGTTTTTCTTGGGTTTCTTTCCAAGACGATGCAGATTTTCTGTAAGCATACAAGGTAATACAGTTTGAAATGTGTTTGGATTTATTTGGTCTTTCAAGGTGATTCAGATTTTGCCATGAACAAGTAAATAAAAGCAAAGATTTCTGAAAAATTTGTCCAGATATTTGCTTGCATCAGGTGTTTTGCAGAGATTCACATCTGAGGATTCAGTCTGAGGATGTACAGTCCTTAACCTTTTATAGAGTACCAAAGTACATGTATGACGTCATACTGGCCAAGTTATTGAGGTTGCTGGTTTCAAACAATTTTTTGCTAAACAATGGTGCAGTGATAAAGCCAGCCCCAAACATTTGCCCCGTTCCTGCCTGTTGCTTGAATGATTTTCACGATGAACCTTATGTGCAAGCTCTGTCATTTATAACCGGTAACCTGGATGCATTTAGTCAGTGTAACGTGAGCACTGTGGTGCTCTATTCCGTGAAGTCATTCTGAAGTCATACCAACGTCATACCAACAGAGAACCCTAGCCCTATCAATACTAGATAAAGGTTGGCAATGAGGCCTGTCCTCATCAGCTCGAGATTGCCAAATAGCCCGCTATTTCTGATTTGGGAAATAATCCCGAAGTTACAAATCGCATCTTCATCAGCTCGAGACTTGACCTCGAAACTTAAAACTCGAGCTCAAGAAATTAGCTTGAGATATTTTGCTCAGCGTTCGCGCATAGTGCGAATCTTTGGGCTGGTGAAAACACACCGGACAAATAGCGGGATATTTTGCAAACCAGCCCAAGATATCTTGGGGGATTATCTCGACCAAATATCCTGCTAACTGCAACTTCGGGCTGATGAAGACGCAAATTAATTGGATAATTTGCGATCGGGATAGTTCAAATAGCGAGATATTTGGCAATCTCGAGCTGATGAAGACAGGCCTATGGTGACCCACAAAAAGCAGCGTTCTGTGCCTTCCCCTGACTGCTCTCCCTTAAGGATACCATACGCACAGAGCGTATAATCATGGTTCAGTAGACAGTGCCTAGTGCACGATTAACCCATGAATTATCAAAAGTTCAAAACTGGCAGCGGCCAGCCATCTGGCATCGGGCCCTTCACAGATTTACAATGTAATACACAAGCTGTCTGAAGCCAAAGATTGCTTACGCTTGAGATACAATAGTAAAAAGGAGAAATGAAAAAGATTGTGTAAACATGACTGAGATACAGTACTACTACAGTATTAGTACATTTACATCATTGTATGTGAAATGTACTCCATGTCAAATACATGTAATTTGCAATTTTGCAGTTCCTATTAGGCATCACCAGTACATCCTGTAATAAAAAAAATGCATTTTTTTACTTTGCTACTGTCTCTTAATGCACATGTACAATGCTTTATGAATATGGACAATTTGTATCTCTCTTTTGCTCTCCCTACCCCTCCTCTCTCTCTCTCTCTCTCCCCCTCTCTCCCTCTCTCCCTCTCCCTCCCTCTCCCTCCCTCCCTCCCTCCCCTGGAGACCCCTCCCCCTCTCTCAAAATCTCCCTCCACATGCTCCCTCCCTCCCTCCTCTTCCCCTTTTCTCTATCTATCTCCATCCCTCTCCCCTCTTGCCCTTTGCACCTTCTGAATAACAGGTGTTTTATTCATTTCTTGGCTTGATTTTACTTATCTTTAATTATCTGTCTTCCTCTGCAATCACAAATTATCTTCAAGTACTTTCAACTGCTCATCCACTCCATTTTTCTCCAGATCCCTTTCTCTCTACATCATCCGCCATCTATCCCCGCTCCTCTCAGTTTACATTTAGCAAAGCTATAAAAAAAGAATTGTGTTTAAAAAAAAAATCAAAGCATTACTTATATAATTAGTTTTCCATTGAAAATTCAATTTCTTAGCTTCCCCTGCTTCCCCTGGGAAAATGAGAACTCTTTTTTTCTAAGCCACCTGGGCAGAGAACCCTAGATCCGCCACTAACTAAAATGTAGAATTCACATGATGACTACATGTAATTGTTAATTCTACCACTGAATGTGAAGCTCTACCTTGAGACCTGTTTCCATGTATGCAACTAGACTATGATATGAGCATTCTTCTTAGGCAATCCTCATTAGCCCTATTTTACAAAATAGCCTGCCAATTCTAATCTGCAGGAATTAGCCTGATCACCACGAGCTTTAGCTAATTCGCAGTGAATCCCAAGCAAATTAGTGCTCGTTTCTGAAATAGCCTGCTATTTCTTCAATTCGTGGGCAGATTCGCTGATGAAGATTCACTTGGACTGCTATATGATCTTAACCTTGAGCTCAATTCTTGAGTAAGCAGTAATTGACTAGGTGTGAAGTCGGTAGGGAGCTTCAACCCTCTGACTACGGTATATCCTTGAGGATTCCGGATCAGGGAAACCTGAATATAAAGACCGCTCAAGGGAGATGAGAAAAGCAAGGCGGGTGATCTTTGAATATGTCCAGATTCCTCGAGTACCCAACATTTCATTAAAAAGCACCATTCAAGGAAAACAGAATATGTTGAATATGCCCGTCTGTACTAGTTTGGCCAGGAGGGATTAGACCACCCAGGGTGGTCACTGACAGGTGGCTATCTCATCAACTCGGCTCTCAATTAACATAAGAAAAAGAGGATCACAGGGAACCAATGATCACCGATTAGGCATTGTTTCTATATACAAATATTCATACTTCAAACAATACAACTTTTAGAAAGTGGGACATTTTTTCTGACTCACCCTGTAGAGGGAGCAAGTAGCTACAAGTAGTACAGTAGGGCTTTAAAGACAGGTGGTCTTGATATACAGGTCTTACTATACAGATTGTCACTAAGGCAGTTTTCACTGCATCCAAGTTTGGGCTTGATGGGGCTAATGGTAACGCACCTTGTGATATGGTGAGAGCCATAACATCCGGAAGGCTGCATGAACCACCAACAATAGCAAGGTGTCGACCCAATCTCACACCTCATAATGAGAACCTGATGTAGGGGTTGTATCAGGGTGGATGTCAACTGCAGTTATTCTCTCACTCTCTCCATCTCTGTCTAGCTCTCCTCCATTGGTCTCCATCTCTCTCTCGTTCTCTTCATCTCTTTGTCTGTCTGTCGTCTGTCTGTCTGTCTGTCTGTCTGCCTGCCTGTCTGTCTGTCTGTCTCTCTGTCTGCCTGTTTATTTGCCAAAGAGGAAAATCTCCTTCCCTGACTTGCCCAATAAAGAATAGGAAACAAATGTATCTGCCTGTACACAACAAATACATTTTAGGTTTCCTTTCCCATGCTTTCCTTGCTATCTCACAGTGATGAAAGAATCACTTTAAAGAATATCTCAAAAGGAACAGCCAGCCAGCGTAGAGTGTGGACAATTTCTTCTAGGGGTCTTTCATGAAAGAAACTATAACTTTATAAGTATGTGCATCTGTAACAAAATGGAACTTTGAGTGAGATGAAAGAAACCATATAGAAATGTGCATCTGTGGCAAAATGTGACTTTGAGTGAGATTTACTATGAAATAATATCTGGGGATGTTTCATAAAGATCGTAAGTCGAACTGAACTCTTAGTTGGACTTAAAAATTATGGAGAGCCATTTGTAGCCTTAAAATAAAATGTGTTCAAAAGCGAAAAATCAATTATTTGAGACTATATATAAATTCCACATCAAGAACATGAAATCTCCTTGATAATAGAAAATATGAATGATTTGAATCAACATTTTATGTCTTTTAAAATAATTTTTTTCAAAATATTTTCAAGGATGCTAACAGCTTTCCATAATTGTTAAGTCCAACTTTAAGATAAGGTCAATTTAGGATCTTTGTGAAACACTCCCCTGTTCTCTTCCATTTCTCACCTCCCATGTCGTCTCTCTCTCTCCTCTCTGCAGGACCTGCCTCCTAAGAAAGGGTTAATCCGGGGTGAATCGATACTGACGGGTTACCTGGTGAGACCCAAAGGAAAGAATAGCTGTGAACTGTTCTACGTCACACAGTCGGACCCAAAAGGCAAGTATTAAAAAAAAGACTTTGGTTGGTTGGTATCACCATGGAAACAGCTGACCTATTTAGGCTGTGGGCCATGGCTTTTAGGGTCTTTGTCAGGAGAGGAAATTAAAGTTTAAAGATTTTTTGTACTTTTAGCTTGTTTCCAACTTTCTTTCATGACGTTTGACAATGAAATCACCTCCAGTACCAATCGTCACTCCCATCATCGCCACCATCGTTTCAACAGGCATACTACCTTTCTAGGATATTTCTTTTTTTGCCTGAATTTTCTTCCCCTTATATTTACCATTTCTCTTCCTCTACATTATCTAATTCTGTTTCTTGATGGACAGGTACATCACCCTCTCCTTTTCTTCCTCTTCTCCTCCCTTGCTGACACCATCTCATATCCCTCCCTTCACCCTCTCCTCAACAACTTCTCTTCTACCTTCTTGCATTCCACCTGCTTGCATTCTCCTCTCATTCTTTCATTTCCATGCAATCCTTTGCCTCTGTATTCTTTGGTAGCATCTTGGCAACTTATTTCAGTCACATCTCTCCTCTTCCTCCTCTTTCTCTTCCTCCTCTTCCTCCTCCTCCTCATCCTCCTCCTTCTCCCTCCTCCTCCTTCTCCCTCCTCCTCCTCCTCCTCCCTCCTCCTCCTCCTCCTCCCTCCTCCTCCTCCTCCTCCCTTCTCCCTCATCCCTCCTCCTCAATCACATGCAGCATCTCATACTCCTTTCTCTAGCTTTCCTTTGACCCTCTTGCATCCTTCTTTCATTTTTTCATCCTCACACAACTCCTTAACCTCTCTGTTCTTCGGTAGCACTTTCCAGACACATTAAACCTAATTGATAACCTGTTTGAAAGCAGACATCAAAAGTCGGTCACAGAATCAGGCTAATCACTCCCTCTTACAACCGTCCCTTTTAACCTACATCCTGTTTCCATGGTTACCACTGGACCGATGCCTTCCACCGGTGCGAATGTTTTTTAAATCAAACATGTCCCAGTGCTTCCAAGACAATCAGCTTTACCCATCAGCCCTCAACCAAATCTTGGTAGAATGGCAGTGCTCTGACCCCGAAAGATAAGTGTTAGTGTAGCCTCCCACTGTTTTTAAGATGTAATCTACAGTTAAGGTACAATGTACATGTAATGACAGAAATATACCTCAAAAAATCAAATATTTAAGTGAATAACAAAAATGGAGTATGATCAATAAAAGATGAGTTACTGATAATTCTTCTTGCATGTTTCTGAAATTCATATAATAAATTGATATTGATACATAAAGCAGCATTGCCCTATACTAATAATACCTGTATGGCTATGTCTACAGCCTATTTCGACGCCTCTCTTTCGTGTATGGTCATTTGAGTCCAGTATGATAGTATATTGGATGTGGATACTTGGTATTATGTACATTGGAAAAGGGTAAACAGTTCAATATTTCCCCTGTGCATCTTGATGAAAATTAGATTCTTTCTGTGAGCCTGGCTTGTAATGAATTCCAATTCATGTAGTATCACGCAGAACACTCTCGTGTCTATCCATAATAAACAGAGGTTTTCCCCTGATCCAGTTCCACATATTCAATTTGAAAAAATTGGACTAGGAAAGGCTTTATATAATCATGTATTCATATCTACTTGTATATTTGATTACAATTTATTCACTCAACTTTCATATATCAAATAAGAAAGGTTTCCATGAAACAATGTATTTTAGGCCAACTCTTCTTGTATCCTATGAAAGGAATATTGAATAGAATGGAATTTATTGAAGAAAATTTTACATCATAATCTTGTATTAAAGTGATTTGGTTTTGATATGTGCTTTCGTGAGTAAACTTGATCTTGCAGAAGTTTTTGATTTTTAATCAATTTGTAAAATGATGTTTTCTCTCTACTGCAAGAGATTTGAAATGCATTTACTGGAATACATTTCTGGAAGGAATAATGGTATTGATTATTTTTTGAGATGAGAAATATCACCTGCATTTCCGAATCGAATCCATCGCTTTCTTGTCATGTACATGTCGGTCAAATTTCATATGGGTCATCAGTCAGAGGGAGGGAGAGAGAAAGCAGAAGAGATACGGAGAGGGGAACGGAAAGGGAGAGAGAGAGAGAGAAATGAGGTTGGGGTAAACAAAGTAGATGTGGAAAAGAAATGGGATAGTACATGGAGATGAAAAAGGATAATCTAAGCAAATTATGTCCATTTTAGTAGAAGATTATGTGAAATATGCTTTACAGATCAATACTTCTATAGAGATAGAGAGTAGGAGACTTGTACATGTATTGTACAGGGTGTATGTTTACATGTAGGACAACCTATACAGACCGGAACATGTCTGTATAAAATATAGATTTAAAAAGTAGAGAATTCTATTCACAGAGAAGGACAATTGGGGGAAGGGGGGGGGGGGGGGGGGGGGGGGGGGGAGGGGGGGGGGGGGGGGGGGAGGGGGGGGGGGGGGGGGGGGGAGAGGGGAAAGCGAGAGAGAAAGGGAGGGAGAGAGAGAGAGAGAGAGAGAGACAGATAGAGAAAGAAAGAAAGTGAGAGCAAACAAAGTAGATGTAAAAAGAAATAAGATATTACATAGAAATTAAAGAGAAGAATCTAGGCAAATAATGTGCATTTTGGTAGTAGAAGAATAAATACACTTGTAGGCCCTCCTATACATGAAGCCCATCCGATACAGTCTGGTACATCTGGTCTGGTCCGTAAATATAGATTGAACAAGAAGAGAAATCTATTTACAGAGAAGGACAAGTGTGGGGGAGAGAGAGAGAGAGAGAGAGAGAGGAAGAGAAAGGTATTGACGTAATAGCCCGCCATTCATGGAGACGAAGGAGATGTTTTACTTTGAAGGCTGGGCAGGTCGGGGAAAGTGAAAAATAATCAATAAAATCAACACAGGAGTAGAACTGGCTGTACGATGACACCAACTATGGATTTCAATTCAGCCAATTAGGCACAGGAAGGAACTCACTCACAGTGTGTGTGTGTACGGAGAGAGAAATAGTCGGACCTATTTCCACGTCTTGACTCTATCTGTCTTGAGTGGTATCTAAAAGGAGTTGTATTTACCCTGGCTGCGCAACTCGTTAATTTAATTAACTTGGTGCGTCTAGCTCTGTATTAGAGGTTGAAGGCACTTTCAATTTCGATGCGCTGATCTGATTATATCATTGCGTATATATGTCGGCCCAAGACCTAGATTTCCTTAAATTTGTATTACCCATTTCCAATGAATATTGTCAGTTGTATCTCAAGGAATTATAAAAAAAGGACTTAAATATATACATGTAATTCCTATTCATTGTGTTCTTCATATTTTCAATCAACTACTCATGGGCAACATAATATAGGCCTCTATGAAACATGTAATAAATGTACGGTATATGCATTGAACATATGCATTCCCATGCAAGTATCAGATATAGAAGCATAATTTGTTTTTAATTATGAAATGATATTGAATTTCTATGAATGCAAAATGGCATACCCTTTCCCTCAGCACTTTCTTTTATTTGTACATTTAATTCCATCTGTACTATACACAGTACCGTACACGTATACAGCAGACAGTACAAAGTATGTGTACTCGACATGAATATTACAATTATTGTGCTCTTTGTCGCTGCGTATTATGATGGATGGCCGGCCGTTGTCATGTGGGGGCGCCGAAGCGGAACTAATTATTCTTTTGTGACGAAGAGGGAGAGAAGACAATATATTCATCGCTTGACAAAGATAGAATTCCTGTAACTAAGACTACCATCAATCACACGAACCGTGAAAAGTAGGAGCTTAAAGGGATAGGTCACTTAGATGATCAATCATGAATAGGGATCTATCATTACAAATTTACTCTATTTTTTAAAAAGAAAATGGGCAATTTAACCTTCATAGAAAACCGTTACTACAGAAATAATGCCATTTATCCTTAAATATTACATAGGCACTACTAATATACTGTTAACAGTGGTGTGTCCTCAGTCGATACCTATGAACTCGTTAAATAGTGGAAAATATGCAGGTCGGTTGCTATGCAAATCTATGATATATCCAATAACTGACTATGCTACTCTTTAGTTATTTCATACATAAATGAGCAATAACACGATAGACAGCATCCTTATAAAGGCACCATTGGCTGTGAATACACCATATTTTAGTTTTAATTAAAACCATATGGAATAGCTACAGTGTATGGCCTACAGTGCAAATTTGAAGATTATTAATGGCTTGATTATTTTCAAGGTGTTTTTTTTGTCTTTTTTGTCTTTTTTGTGGAGGACTGAATACTCCAGATGTCTGAAATTGAACTTATAATAGAACAGTGATTTTGTTGTGCACCCATGGTGATGATTATGCTGGTGCTTGTTTGCATGCAATCGAACTTGGTGGTGAATTCCATTCATGTTCGTCATTTACAGATGTTTAGTTATCTATTACACATGTAAAGGTAGAAATAAAATCTTTAAATTCATATGTCACTCATACAGTCAATTTCATTATCAAATTGTTCATGCAGAGCCAGAAGGGCATTGACTCTGTGTTTAAAGATAAACTTTAGTACTGGTAAATGCGATTGCATTGTGAAAGAAAAGGTGTGGAATAAGATCAGAAACAGTTGATCACGTAGCATGTACATTTAAGTATTGGTGTGCACTGCAAGGTTCTGGAGTCATCAAAATCATAATAAATCTGACAGAGTCTTGGTAAATTAACAAGCACTGTACACAGAAAGCTATATATGGGACAACACACATGGTGTCAGGGCTAGTACTACCTTGATTTCCTTGTCTTTCTATGCTCATTACTCAGCCAGTATACATTTTCTTCCAAAATTGTTTGGCACATGTCATTTATTTGTAATCTTGAACATTCAGTGTAAGTTTTGTTTGATTCTGTGAGAATTTTTTTTTTTTTTTTTCTTTACCAGAACTGGAGTTTATCTTTAATATATCAGTTAACACCCTTCTGGCTCCAAACAGAGTAATAGCACAAAATAGTAATAGACCTTGATCGCAGTAAAGCAGTCAGTTGTGATTATAAATCAATCTTCAAAAGTCCCATGAATATGACATTGGATTATAAATTATATGGATTATGCATTCCTTCTCTGAAAAATGCAAGCATTATAAGTCTGAATGTCCTCCACTCATTGTTGGCTTAAAAAATGTAAAAAAGCATTTGTAATTTTGTTGGTCTAAATTCTTTCTTGGCTTATTAGTCGTAATTATAAATCAATCTTCAAAAGTCTCAGTGAATATGACATTGGATTATAAATTGTTTGTATACTTTCTCTGAAAAATGCAAGCATTAAGGCCCGAACTCACAAAGGAGGTTTGTCGACAAACCTTGGTCTGAGCTCAAACCTTGCTTTGTGATTTTGGGCCTATAAGTCTGAATGTCCTCCACTCATTGCTGGCTTTAAAAAATATTTTTGTTGGTCTAAATTCTTTCTTGGCTTATTAGTCATGATTATAAATCAATCTTCAAAAGTCTCAGTGAATATGACATTGGATTATAAATTGTTTGTATACTTTCTCTGAAAAATACAAGCATTATAAGTCTGAATTTCCTCCACTTATGGCTGGCTGTTTAACAAACAAACATTTTGTAATTGTTTTTCTTCTAAATTCCTTATTGTCTTATTTATTTTACAGGATCAGTACCAAAGTGGGCTGTGAACAAGGTGGCCCAGATCGTGGCTCCATCGGTAAGATTCCTCGTTTGGTAATCTAGAACTAAGCTTTGAAGCCTCTTATCCCACTTATGTTCAAGGGGAAGTCCACCATGATATTAATTTGGTTTTAATAGAAGCAGAAAAATGAGAGAAATAGGTCTGAGACAGTTTGAGCAAAATCAGATTAAAAATTAAAAAGTTGTGAATTTATACCTTGTCAGGTCCTCTACATTTTGCTCTGGCATAGAGAGTTTAGAAGGAAAACAAATCTTTGATCAAATTAAAGCCCCAACAATTGGATGATTAAGGGTTTATTTTTCTTCTCATAATTCATATCTCTAACAGTCGAGAAAAAAGAAAACCTTTTTTTGTCTGTAAAGATTATAGAAGATATCAATATTTGTGCTATTCAATCGACCTACAGCACTTTTACTGTATTGCGAGAGCTGGGTTACCGTATGTGACTTACTGTATACAGTAGCTTGTTACTTCAGAAGTTAACCATCCTCTTTCTTTAACCTCTAGATGTCTTGCACAGTGTTGGGGCAGACACTTTCATCATAACTTTTCAGACAGCTGATCAAAATATATATACTGTTTGGACATTCTTGGCATCATTAATGCCAATGGTGTAGATTGCTTTGGTGAAATATGACATCTGCTGGTACATAGGATAAACACTATCAGATAGTATGTAAACACTTCAGAAAATCCCTGGTACAATGCAAAAGGCCTTTGTACCTTCAATTCATTCCCCCTTGAAGGTGTTCGAAACATAAGGTTATAACTGTGCGAGTTTTAAGGAGGAGGTTGAGTTCTGAGGTGAGATGAAATAATTTGTGAGCGTTTTCATCGTTATTATGCAAGTTTAGAAGAACAACAGAGAAAAAGTGTGCCCTGGAAACAGCTAAAAAATGTGGACCTCATTTTTATGCCACATGTTTGTGTACTCCCATATACATGTACATCTTTCTGTGTACAGGGCTTGTTACTTTTACCAAGACTGGGCCAAATCTCTTTTCATTTTGATGAATCCAAAACCTTGCAGTACGCAACAATACTTGTATGCTTTTTCTGACCGATTCCACACCGTTTCTTTCACAATGCAATATTCGAGTGGTGTGAATGTGTACTTTGCATTATCAAACATCCGAGAGACGTTAATTTATTTTTAACAATGACTCAGACAGTGTTCCATGCTTTCCATTCTTTTGTGTGTATACAGGTGATGAAGACGTTGCACAAGGCATGCCTACGCTACCCCAAGTGGAAGTGAATGTGTACTTTGCATTATCAAACATCCAAGACGTTTATCTATTTTGAACAATGACTCAGACAGTGTTCCATTCTTTTGTGTGTATACAGGTGATGAAGACGTTGCACAAGGCATGCCTACGCTACCCCAAGTGGAAGAGCACCCACAACCCCGGCTTCAAACCCTGGCTGTACCCCGAGCAGGCCATGGGCTACCTGCCCCGCCTCAACATGGAAGACCTACTGGCCAAACAGGAGTACCAATCGGACGACTCCCTGGACGAGACCGGCATGAAGGAGGAGGACTTCAACGATAGCAATCTCCTGGCAGAAGACAAGGTTTTATGAGGAGGAGTAACATGTGGCAGTTGCCATGGAGATCAGATGGAGACGACTTCCAACTTGTGTCTGGAGACATTACGAACCAGTCTTACTACAATCATGATAATAGAACATCGAGATAACTTATATATACCAAGTGACCAAATTAGAAATACATTCAAACCTGCTATAGTGACCACCTGTCTACAAAGGCCACATATGTTGTTTCCCTTGAAAATAGTTTCTCATTGAATCATGTACTAAAGGAACCTGTCTACAAAGACCACCTGTCTACAAAGGCCACTTTTTGTGTTTTCCTTGGGTGGTCAGTATAGACAGATTTGACTGTATTAGTAGATTATAATTATAAAGCCTGAATGTGGATTGTCTTCATCAATGGTATAAAGATGACAATTCAACTATTCAGTGCTTTTGGAAGGAAAGATTGACCAATTTTTGAAAAAGCATTATACAATACATGCACTTGACCTAAACAACTGCCCTTTTAATTCATGACAGGGCTGGAAATGCACGATAGACTATGCGAGATTCTGTCTTCCATAATGGAAAAAAAAAAAATCATTGAACAATTAATAATCCTTTTTCACACTTTACACTGTAAATGGCCTCCCCCAATAGGCTGCGACAAAGTTAGACGACACTGGTGTATTGATGAAGGCTCTTGACTCTCATATGAGATGTACGTACCGAGTTTGATCATCGATAAGTGCTTACATCGTTGCACCAGGTGTTTTGCCCACATTTGTCCTTCTCGATCCAGGTGTGTGACTTGAGTACCAGGCTATGCTGGGTGTGATAATAATTGAAGGTCCTAGGTCGAGTAGGAGCTCCTATGTGCAGTGCTTCACAGTTTGCTAACACCGGAATTAGTGAATTCCCTATCCCTTTTGATGCATGAATCTTGCACATGGCATAATCTCCCAGGCAACATTACCGTTGGCAATCCAATCAATTGCAATCCAATTAATTGCAGACCAATTAGGGGATTGCTTGAAGTGAGTCAAGTTTAGTTCTGGAGAAGAAACAAAACATCAGTTTGAGAACTTTTGCCAAGAGCAGTGGTTTCGTAGTTGCTGGACGGTATGTGCATTCTTTTCGGCAATGCTGATCAATTTCAAATCCAAACTCTATTCCTGAGGATTTACAGAACCTGCCATTAGGACCACATTTGCAGATGTGGAAAGGAACATGTGTCTCTACATTGTCTGCTCAGATCCAGAAGGGTGTTATTTAACTCATATACTCTAGCACTGAGTTTAATAATGCCCTTTTGTCTCTCAACAGACGATAAGTCTTTAATATTCCGGTCAGATAAACGCATCTTTATGTTGTTATCCCTAGGGTGTGATGGCTTAAAAGCCTAGAGCATCTCATGTTAGATTCATTACATGCAATCAGCAATAAAACATACAAAATGAATGACATTCAGATTCCATTGCAGTATTGTAACTATCATCCCTTGTCTGCAATCTTCCAGCGAAACTCTAGCTTTTATTTTTAAGATAAGAACTAAGCAAAATATTGAAATCCCTGACACTGAATGTGTAACAGTAACAGTATTGTGTAAAATATATATATACATCAATGCGAGTGTTATCATTTCTTTTCTTAATTACATTTTTGCTCGTGCAATGTTCACGCCTTTTGTTAAAGTCATCATTCAGTCACATTTTATGAAATTTCAGACCTTATGAAAATTCATTCCATTCAAATAAAGGGCATATAATAACTTAAGTGTATATTTAAATTGGCTATGTGTAGGAGTTATAATATTGTGTATAACAAAAAATCAATGCAAATGTTGTCACTTATTTTCTTAATCACATTCTGGCTTGTGCGCCCTTTTTATAGAATCTGATCAAACCTTTTTTGAAAAGTTCATTCCATTCCAGCCAAGCGCAAGTAAGCTTGGTGTAAATTTGAATTAGGTATCAATGAAATACATGACATTCAGATGTATTCATGCCATTTGCTACTTAGGAGTAGAAAAAAAAACATCAGATTGATATCGATTGATATTTCATGATCATTTCCAGAATTTTGTATCTTCTTTGTACTATTAAAATAATGCGTGCCAACCCCCCCCCCCCCCCCCCCCCCCTCCTCTCTCTCTCAGAAGAGTTCAGGAATATCTAGATTTCAGGTTTTCTTGTAAATGAAAGCATGTTTTTAGATATGGCTACTGTGTTTCTATTGCTGTATACATGAATGAAGTCCAAAAAGGGATGGATATTGTGACAGCAACACCCCCCCCCCCTTCGGATTAAAGGGCAATATGCTTTTGTATGACAAGGCAACTGTAAAATCCATTAATTTGATTGTAGGAAAGTCCAGTATACACTATGACAAGCAGTAGTGTTAATTTGTCAGTTTGCCCTTATTACCCCTCATTCTCTCTTTCTCCATCTCCCCTCTCCCCTCTCCTTTCTCTCTTTCTTCCCACTTTCTCCCCCCCCCCCCAAAGATATATCTGTTTCTTTCAACTTGTCTCTTCCCTAGTAGCTATACTATAGGGCCCTGTTGCATAAAACTTACCATTGATGGTAACTTTGCCACCAATGGCAACTACCATGGTAACAGGGCTCAACAGCCAATCAAAATCAAGGTTTTCATGGTAGTTACCAATGATGGCAAATTTACCATCAATGGCAAGTTTTGTGCAACAAGGCCCAAGTCTTTGTTAGTCATCGAGCTATAGTGATGGATTGGATTAAGAAAAGGTTTATTGGAGTAAACTACTGGAATTGCACCTCCCATGTCATGAATGAAAGCTTGAGCAAGTTAGGAGGTGGGTATGATGATACGCAGAATCACAACTGACAAATTAAGCAAAAATAGCCAGATTCGATGCTGTTTTAGTTTTGTGCTGTCCTTCAAACTCTGACGGAGAGGGCGTATTGAAATATTTCCTTAAAATCAAGTCTTCCTTCTTACCAAATTAATGAAGAGATATGACAACCATGTTTGAAATTAGTATTTTGTACTCGTAGCAATCATGATAACAATATGACTGTAGGAGCTACAGTACATATAGAAGTATGATCAAGAAGTTATGTCGAAGCTCGTTGGTATGATATACTCCTTGTATGATGTACATGGAAGTCATGTAGTAGCGCATTCCAGGGCCAGTCATACATGTAGGATGGCTAAATACATGCTGCAGGTATATGTTACAAGTATACATTAACATATATATTATCCTTGTCTGTATTGTTGAGAAGCATTTACTCTTGGTATTTCTCTTTCTCAAGTTTCCCCTTGCTTGGTACTGTCATTGAATACGTCATGTACTTGCAAGAAAACCTTGGGGTGTGGGGGAGGGGGTGGAGGAGTCAGGGTAACCAGAAAACATACTTAAGAGCAAAAAGAAATGGACTAAAAAACAATTTTAGTCCAAAATTGGACAATTGCTCCAAGCTTAAAGGTTAAGGTTTGAGTTGCATTGGGTTTTGGGCTAAGATTAGGGTTAGGATTAGCTTGATTGAAAATATTAGCTTCCATGGTGTACATGGTGTGCAGTCAACAATATTATTATGAGTCATATCTTCCATTGGATTGATATAACTACAGTGGTTTATTTGTTAGCCCTAAAATATTTTTGTTTAAATAAATAATTTGGGCTTATAAATATGATGAAGATAATGCCACAATCACTTTATCACTCTTATTATTTTCATTGAATTATGTTTTTGTGTTTATATGTCCTTTACCTTCTTGGAATATCCTCACTTGATTTGTAGTCAAATTAAGTTGTACATATTATATTTGCATATATTAATTTACTTCTATTAAACCAAAAGTAATTGGTATATCTTACTAACATACATATCATGTGTTAAGACTTTGATGCCAATTATTGTATCAAATGTTATAAATCTATTTTGTTTTTTATATGATACAAAAAGAGTATTGAAAATAGGAAAACTCAGATTTTTTAATTTTATTTTTCCTTATGTTTATATCCAGAAAGATTATTACAGAAAGGCAGGGCAGCGTTTTACAAAACCATGGTAAGAGGTGTCGTGGTTTGGTGGATACGTCACCAGACTGTGGATCACATGGTTCAAGTCCCGCCACAGCACTGATATCCTTTGGCAAGGCATTAATATACATTTGCCACTCTCCACCCATGTGGAGTTATTGGTCACCTGGTATAAATCTATTCCTTGAATGCTTTTAGCACCCTAGGGCAACTGGGCTAAAGCCAGGGTAATAATACCGGTACTACTTTGCCTTGAGAATCCCCTGGGATGAATATGTGCGCAATATACATTTAGCTATTATTATATTATTATTATTATTATTATTATTAAGTTCAAGTTTATCAACATGACATTCATGTTGATCTTAAGGCACATGTTTCAATAGGATGTCTGCAAACGTATATGACAGTTTGGTGAAATGATGCCCTCATATTTATGTCACCAAGTATCAGTAATGAAAGTGAGCAATATTACTCAAAATAACAAATATATATATATTGCAAATCATGATTTATCAAGTGCGGTTTATATCTGTGTTATCTATGTGTCATTTCGTGTGTACATTATTTCTCATACAATGTGATTTTCTTTTTAAACATAAAATATACTTTCATTGCTATTATTTTGCATTGTATGCTCTTACTAGTTTGCGCTTCCATTGGTATTATTCCTCTTGTCAAAATGTACCTTTATGACATGTATGTTGCTAAAGATAAACTACAATTGCATGCAAAATAAAGAGTTTATTTGGCAAAAGCTAATTGAGTACCAAGAAATCATGTTTATTAAAAAGAAAAAACGATCCTCATATTTGGTTCGAAATGTTCACAGTGTTTTTACCAAGAAAGATGTTGATCAATTTTTGGCAAAAGATAATTAATTTGGAAGACCCTGATATGAAATCATGACAATGAGACCTAGTCATGCTGTTGAACCAAATGAACTTTTGATTGGTATGAGGGGTGATTTTGCATATCAATAAAGGTTTAGGTTAATCATTGATAATATCCAAGTTATTTTTTATTTTCTTAACTACCGGTAATCATAACTACTGTATTTGAAGGTGATACTCCAAGTTGTGTGGGAGGCATTTTATAAAATGGTCTACAATGTCCAATTCAACATTCTTCAATTTTTTTAATTTAGCCTAGGTTAATTTGTATTTTTTATGTATTTTTTCTATTAGTCCATCTCTTCTGATTCCTCCTTCTTCTTTTATCATCAACTATGTTTTTAAGATGGAAAAAAGAGATGATATATCTATGGTACTATCAGTGAATCAGTGAAATACGGTATGATTAAAATAAAAGCTTATGAGATTTTTGTTGCGGAATCCTTAAACAAAAGGAATAGATTCAAATTATTCTGTTCTTCTTGTCGTTCCTCTATGTATTGTTTAACATTTCCTTCAGTTATGTGCCTTCCATTAAGAATTAGCATTTCCTTTGCCGTTCTAGATAATTCATCTGATTGTCTCACTAGTAAAGAGTTAGAGCTAAATTCTTGATCTAAATCCTAAAGATGTGTCACTTTCCCAGAACTATGTTGCAAGACACAATTAAGTAAATATTTAAACTTTTTTTAAATAATTTATTTTACAATGTTCATTCGTTTGATTCCATCAATATTGACTCTAACATTCCATTTGTTTAACATTAATTTCTAACACTAAACTAGTATAGTACATTTCTACCTATATGATGGAGTACCATAACATAACCTCTGTTTGTTTGGTGTATATCAGTAACAAGTAATTTGTTTAATATATGATTGATTTGTTAAGCTATTGATTCTTGATGTGCTTGATTGATTTTTCGAATGTGTCCTGTGGTCATATATATCTCTTTCATTTTGTTAGAAATGATCCTTCTTTTTGGGCTTAAAACAATGCTTGCTATTGATATGATTGATTTTTAGGTGTTGAAAGTACGACCAGAGGCAGTAGGCAGATGGACAAAGACCTGGCCAAGAAAATCCTCAAGAAAATGAGAATTTAGCAATCATAATGATTGATGTCATATTTTGTACCATTTTAGTTAATTTATTCAGCTCTATCTTAGTATTACTACATAGTGAAGCCTACTGTACACAAATGGAGTACGGATTGTTACAAATGTGTGTCTCAATGCCAAACGTAGAGTACTGTAACGTGCAATGTACCATGAAGTACGTGTACTTTAAATGTTATACATAAAGTACTGATTAAGATAATGGCTTAATATCTACTTGAGTGCCTTGTTATTGAACCTAATGAAAAAGCTGTATAGAACAGGGTGCCCTTTATTTAACTTTTTTTAACCTTTTTTTTTAAATGCCCGATTAATGATTGCTTTGTATGTCAATGTACGATATCATTAGGAGAAACATTATTTGTGTTACATTATTAGTCACCTCTCATTATACCTTGTATGAACTACTTAGGTATTCTCATCGAATAGTTGTTAGATTTGATTAGATTTACTCATTCTTCATGTAGTACTCGTAGCACTCAAATCTTTACACTTTGATCCGTTCACAAGTTAATAGTACTTCCCCTTAGATAGATAATCTCATTTTACCCAGTTTTTTTTTTGTGATTATCAAGCATATTACTACTGGCAATACTTCATATTCATGTGACTTCAAAATGTACATTGAGACTAAGAGTATAATATCAAGATAAAAATATAACTTTTGTGAGGTAGAACAGACATTTGCATTTATAAATACTATATCTTCTATAGCCAAATATTTGTGAAATAAAATATGATTATATTCCTGATTCAAACATGGCTCTGCGAGTTTTATTGAAGAAGTCGATATTCGATGATGAAAGATTTTGTATGAGATGTGTAAGCATGGCATAAAAGTTGACAGGCAAGTATGAAACCAACTTCATTCCCACCCACACAGACCAAGAGTAAGAGTATTTGGTCAAAGTATGAGAAGCTGTTGATAGCTTCTATTCTGGTGATGCACTTGTGGTATTCTGTGGTATTCTGGTATATGCACTCTCCTACCTCTC